ATGCCTTGCATCTGCAGCGCTGTCAGACTTGTCCCTGCACAACACTTGTGTGGCCGGGAAGGCTCAAAGCTAGGGGTTTGGGTTAAATATATATATGTATGTATATGTATATATAAAAATGTATTCCTACAAATTCTTGCAGACACAACTGCCTGTAACTCTTGGCTGACTCTTCCCCCTTACCCTAACAGCCACCTCTGGCATTCAGAGAGCATGTAGTGAGTACGTGGTCAGATGAAACTCCTGATGGTCACATGCCCCCTGAAATGAGCTATGTTTCCAGATGAACCTGACCACTAGCCAGTTCTCCACCTTACAACCAGTTTGCTGGATGCAGTGCCTGGCTGTTGGCATGTCAGTCAGGACACATCTAGAAAGAGTGATGACATGTTTCCTCTAGGTATCGTTACACTTACAGACCATTATTTCACATGATCTGTAATATCTGGACCCAAACTCTCATATTGCTGCAAAAAGCACCCTCAGTAAATCCAAGTGTTGTGTGAAAATCTGCCATCAGCGCTGGGAAGAGCTGGATCACGAGCAATATGGAACCACAGGCATCTACCACTCTCAGCTGCAGGTAGAGGTAGGCCCCTTGTCTGGGTAGATGTGTGGAAAAAAGACAAACGCCTGTTGGACCTCTCCGAGGGAAAGAATGGCTGCCTTGGTTTACAGGCTAGAGACAGCCTGCAGCTATGGCTCAAACAGGAGCAAGGAGCATTTTTGCAGTGAAGGTGAGCCCCAATTTCTTGTTAGTATCATCCAGTAATAGAGTAAGCTCATGAGCTGCTCATTAAAGGTAGTTGAAGGTCCTCTTAGCAAAGGAAGTGTCCTGTGTCTGCGCTTTCCCCACCTTCCCCTTCCTTTCTCTTCCCACAGGCAAGCAGGTAAGAGTTTCGCCAGCTCTGTAAGGACCCAGCCTGAGATGTGGGAACCCTGCAGAGGAGCCGTGTCAGTATGCTGTACTCATGCATTTGTTGTTCCTACTTCAACCCTCTAATCAGCAGCACTCGATGTTGCTGGAAACAGTTTGGCAAGTAACTGAGGAAGATAAATCTGGATGTGTAAATTAGACTTTAAGCAGACAGCACCACATCTCTCCTTGCTTTTTGCCTGGGGATGTGCTCAGGCAAGGGTCTATAGCCATTGCTGGCCCTTGAGCTACGCACAACACCGCAGGGATCGGTCCCCTGAGTGACGTTTATTCATTTTTTTTCTCCCTGAGCAGTGTCAGAGGGCGCAAGCAGCGCATTGCACACGCACCCTGGGTTGAGGGCAGCAGTTAGGAGGTTCCTGCCGAGAGCAAGAAACTGTTGTGGGCTGAGCAGGAAGGATGAAAGGGGAAAGGAGCCGACTGCAGGGAGTCTGCCTTGCAGCAGCCAGATCGAGACATGGCCTGGTGCTAATCTGGTAAATTGTTTAAATGATATATTAGCAGCTCTGATGAAGACAACGTCTGGAAGGATTAACATCATTGTCTGTCAGCCCTGGGATACTGGTTTGAATCCAATTCTCTCATTTCAATGAGGAAGTTATAATAAAATGTGATGTCAATGATGCTACAGCTAGCATGGTGGAAGTTTGGACATATGTCTGTTCTATGACTATGCCTTTTTTATTTAATGTATTTATTTTTTACTTGTCAGTTAAGATACAGGATCCTTAAATTTCCCTGGCTTCACTTGGTTGTGAAGGCTAAGCCAAAGACAGTCTCTTCAAACTATTGGAGATCTTTCAGTGAAGAAGGGCCGGGTCAGGCAGATGGCCTTTAGTCAACGGCATGAAAAGGGCACAGGAGTTCAGGCAGAGAACTTCAGTTGGGAGTTGAACTTACCAAGGATCAGAGTGCTGCAGCTCTGAGGCTGTGTGACTCCAGCTGGTGAGGGTAGATCTTGATTTAGTGAGGTGGAGCTTGATTTAACAGGTCATCGTAAGTGGTTTTTACCGGAAGCTGAGAAACCTGGAAGGCTAATGCTAGTCAAAAACCTCCAAAACAAAAAGCCCACACCGTTGTGTCAATATTGTTTCCATTTTTTCAGGCTTCAGGTGAACTGCTTTTAGTTTCCTTGTTGTTGTTGTTTTTGCAGAAATAACTATAACTTTCGTTAATATTTTCAATGTTTTTCACTAAGTAACTTCCCATTCTCTTGGAAGTGAAAAAAAACTCTAGAAGTTTTGCTGGTTTCTGACTGAAATTGTTGCTTCTTAAAATGGCCGTGGCATGTCTGACGTGTCATGGGGGTAGCTGGGCTCCCTGGCAGCCTGGCTGAGCTGAGCATGCACTGTCTTGTGCTTTTGCAATGAGATGGGTCACCCTGGCCAATTTGGTTTGCTGTAGCTCTATATGCTCAGCTAGCTGAAGGTGCCATGGTGGCTCTCATTAACATTTTCTGTAGAGAAAGTCATAGCCTCGTCATTCAAGGTAGCAGCAATGCTAATGGCAGGCCGAGACATTGACGGGACGGACATCCTCTGCTCTCCAGGTGACAACGGCAATCGCGTCAGTGAAGTCAGAGCCAGCGGTGCTGAGCGGGCTTTTGCACCTGGATTGTTTTATAAAAGCTGCATGTGGAAAGAAGGGGCAGTGGAAAGACTTAGAGGTACCATGGCTTATGGTATGCCATTGTCACCCTTTCTGGCTTTCACAAACTGCCTTTTATTCTGCCTTTTGGGGTGATACCTCTGATTTATTGAAGTATCTAATGGAAACAAATGCTTCTGTCTTGATGAGACTGTTTGTTTCACGTGCAGCCTGCCAGCCAACTTTTTCCAAAATACGGTGTTTATTTTAGCAGCATTAGCAGATTATCAGGACTGTATAAATCTGCATGTCTGAGTCAGATGAATTTTTCAAGGCTCTCCATCCCTAAGAGTTCATGTGCCTGCCAAAAGGTGGGAAGTTCAACCAGCAGCTCAGGTGCTGACATGTGAACGGGACAGCCCAATGTTGGCTCCTAACTGCATTCCTGGCCCCAGGAGGATGAGGGGACTCGGGCTGTCAGGAGCAGGCATGTCCATTCCAGCCCGGGGCAGAAGATAATCCTATATGATCAGTGTCCCTTTCATAGAACGGATGTCAGAATAATAAACCCTCTAAAAAAAAAAAAAAAAAATTAAATATGTTATTTTGGAAGCAATCATGTTGCTATTTGGAGCAGTTTTAGACCTGATCTGCACTTAAAATTTTCACTGATTTGTGTCTTTGAGTTAGGAACATGAATTGCTTTCTTACTAAGCAGTTATGGTATTGGCGCAGTTAGATGTGCTAACATCTAGTTATTTCCTGTCTTGTTTGTGAAGAGCTTTCTCCAAATAAGTAGTATCTGTGGGGACATAACTGAGAGGTCATCTTATTTGTGCAGACAGAGGAGCGTGGTCCTCTAAATAGAGGCTCCGGCATAGCATGGTGAGAATCACGCTAATCAAGGGAGCTCATTTTTAAGGTGTTTGCATGAGACTCTGTGGAGTCAGGATCATGTGTCATCTTAAAGGAAATGTGTCTCAGAATCTCTAAAACTCAATAAAAACATAATTGACAGGCTTACCAGCAGTGGCAAGCGCTTGTAGAGGATGTTATGATGAATTACTCCTAAAATTGAGTTCAAACTGCAAGTAAAGAAATATGTTAGAATGGAATTAAACTATGACATTTAATATTAAAAGAATTATTCTTTATGAACTCAAATAAATCAAAAAGGGGACTACTGCTTGACCATGAGTGATAGGTAAAGAATTTCACTAAAATTGTTCAAATCTGTTACTTGCCAAGTACCTAATACTGAAGTTATCTTCTCATTCCTGGATGCACTGCACTGTTGGACCAGAAAGTTTTCTTGTGATGCTTTCCTCACTGGCGACCGTTTTCCTCCTTCCTATAGCAAAGAGAACATCATCAACAGTTTTCTAAGTAGCACCTTTCTGTCATTAAGGATTCAGCAATTACAGAAGACTAACTCACGTTTCTGAGGGACTTTCAGTTATAGAAAACAAAGCATCATACAAGGGTGCTCTGAGACTGCTTTTAGGGCTCTTAAACTTGGTGAACATCTCTTTCACTGTCATCTTTGTGTGGACAATTGCGATTCCTCACAGTACTGCGTGGACGTGTTTGACTGCCTTAATGTTAAAGTGGTCGTTTACAAAAACGAGAGAGAAGGTGTGAGGCAGTTAAAAGGCTGGGCTGGTTCAGGTGCTGCTGTCAGCTGCTTCCTCTTCTTTAAAGTCTTGGGAACAAATTTTGGGGGTTTTGTGGCAAGTTTGGCTTCTGCACACCTTGTTAGGTATCCTGCAGCACAGTCTCCAGGACCAGAGGTGGGATGTTGACTTCAGATGCTTTCTGGTCTATGCAGCTGCAGTTATTTTTAGACTGGGAAAGCTCGATCTCCTTTGCATAAGCAGTTTTCAGAATATTTAGTTATTCACGTGCCCCAGAATTGGTAAACCTGTTCCATGCCCAGCTGAGAATATTCAGGCAAAGTTAGAGATTTCTGGGTTAAACTATCATGATTTTCTGTAGGAGAATGGTCTTCTGATGCCAGAGCACCCGCTTATGCAAAATCTTATATTTAAAAAAAAAACCCACCAGTCATTCAACATAAATTTGCAAAATTAATTTTAAACTTACTTTTTAACCTTTCTCTTTTAAAGCTGGGCTTTAGCTGAGATAGGCTAAAAAAACTGAAACCCCATAAATGCAGATGTCCTTTCTTTACAGAAGGTAGGCATAAGCTGTACTTGGAGTTAAACCCCTTTCTGGCCTCACAACTTTGTGCAATTAGCTGATGCTTTGAAATAGGTTTCCATTGTATTTGTCCTGATATTTTCCAGGCGGACTGATTTTCTTGTAGTTGTTGGAGAGGCATCGTTGCTGCTAGGAGAACTTGATATGAAAGAAATAAGCTTTTTTTTTTTCCTCCCCCTTTTCTCTCCCGCTCTTCTCTCCTTGCAGTACTGCCAGTGCTTCTGCCTCTAACCCGCAGCATTTTGATCTCCAACAGGTTGGCGGGACAAAGACAGGTGTCGTGCGCTACGTGGGAGAGACGGATTTTGCCAAAGGAGAATGGTGTGGTGTGGAACTGGATGAGCCCCTGGGGAAGAACGATGGGGCGGTCGCTGGAACAAGGTACTGTGCACACTTGAACCTAGTTTGGGATGTGTAAGGCCCACATACCTCGTGGGGTAGTGTGGAGCTGAAACCTGGAAAGGAGAGCCAGAGCCTGCACTGCGTTTAAAGGAGTGCGTGTATGTGTAATGGACTTGGTGGGCTCAGAGGAAGAGTCTAGTTTGGAGTCTCAGATTTTGGAATTGTTTCTTGGGGAAATCTGTAGAAACTTCATCATTGGAATAATTTAAAGCAGGATCAGATAAGGTCTGTAAAGAAGTAACCTGAGTGGCTTCAGGGAATAGGAGAGAACAGGAAGAGAAGATAACGTATAGTGGGATTTAGTTTTGGTAGCCTGGATTCTGCGTGTGTATTAGATCTGATTGCCCCCATGCCATCACTTCATAAGCCTGCTTCTTGCACTTTATCTATAATTTGCCCTTTCAGGACTATACAGGACGAAGGGTGTTTTTTTTTTTTTTTTTTTTCCTACCCCTGCTTGATGATTTTCTTCTTTCTGGGGACAAATGTCCAGAGTTCTGAAAGAACAATTGGTGGTTGTTGCTTTGTCCATGTAGTATGACGCCTATTTACTGATCGACCTTACCAGCTCTGACTCCTAGGCCCCTCTGTTACTTTATTTTAAAAAAAAGCCCTTGTTAGTATCTGTAGAACTAGACAGGGACATCTAGCAAGCTTTCTGGAAGGTCATTTTTCTGTTCATGTGCAAGCTGGCTAAGGGAATGACCCCCAGCCTCAGATTTTGAGTTATACAGTAACATTTTGACCCTGCTTCAAATACTGGTGGAACTGATTTCTCATGCTTCACAAGTTCCTCTAGTAGGAAATACTGTTAATTTCTCAGAGCTTCTTAAGGGATTCTTACATTAGAGGCAAGATGTAATGTTTTAGCTCCTGAGGAACTGAGAATTCCTTCCTTGCTAGAGCTCTGGTTCTGTAGTAAATATTCCTTGTGTTGTGTCAGCCTCCCCTTGCCCAGCAGCCAAGTGTGTTCATTTTAAATAAGAGGAATGGTCCCTTGTTCAGTGTCGGGTCAAGAAAGCGGAAAACAATTGGCAGCAGATAGCTGCTGAGTTCTTACCCACTGTCCAGAGAAGATAACTGGAATGATGGAGAATACGTCAGGGAGTGAGTCCAGGGTCCTGCTTTCTTTATCATGCAGTACAATTTATCTGTAAGCTTTGTCTTAAGGGTGCTCACAAATTACTTTTGTTGTGCCTGTGGAAGGTAGATGCTAGCATAAGCATGTTCCAGGGCTCTCTGCCTCTTGTCCTCACACCCTTGCTGTTGTGTCTTGAAAACCTTACTTTGGCGTTAATCTTTCCTCTGGGGCTGCTACATCATGGTCGAGGTTGCTTTGGGTGAAGATGAGCACCCTGTCTGCAAGGCTTCTATGTTTCGTTCACACTTTATGTCAAGATGTCAGGGGCAGGAAAGGTTGAGCAGGGACAGCAAGGAGCAGAGTGTATCAAGAGGTTTTGATTAAATAGGGGGAATTGGGGGAAGTCTGTAAGACATTCCTGTATCCAGCCTGTTTTGTTGCAGACCTTCTAGCAGTGCTGAGTACCAGTCGGTACAACAGCATTGTGTCTGGGCTGTCCACTTGGTCCCTGCCAAAGGGCGCTCTGTCCCCCCGGGACCTGGCTGCAGGTTTGTAGCAATGTCCGTGTTGGTCCTGTGAGCCTTCCTCCAACCTTCTGACTTTCTGCAGTGAAAATGCTTCACTGGCAGCTTATAACGTGCTGATTTCAATAGCAGGGTTTGGTGGAAAGCCAACTTAATAAAACAGGCGCCCTGGGGGAGGCCCTGTATCCCACAGACCATCTTGCCCCTATTAGCTGCGGTGGGATTCCTGACCCTGCCTTGAGCTTGTCCTGGCAGGGGCAGGCCAGGACTCTTTAGCTGCTTGGCTCTGGTGGTGGTTGCCATCTAGTGAGCATCCGTGGGGCTGGCTGCCTTGCACGAGCAGGGTGCTACAGTGGCAACAGGCTCCAGGGCTGCCTGGCATGGATGTGGCTGGCGCTGGCCCAGGCTGACGATGGGAAAGACAAGACCAGTGCATAGAGGGGTTATGAAAGTTCAGGATTTCCAGAGCAGCTTGCAGGTCTCTGAAGGCTACCCGCAGCCTGTGGCGCAGTAGCGGTGCCCATGAGGACAGGACGTTGCTGTGCTGAGCCCCTCTCCCGACACCAGATGGGTGCTGTTGAGGCACTGGGTTTTGCTGCAGTTGCTTTTCTGTCTGCAGGGGAGAGCAGAGAGGTGCAGGAGCAGTTTGGTTTCATATCCACAAGGCCAGACAGGTTCCATTTTTCTCACCTTTTTCTTGACCTTACTCGTTTGCTGTGCCTTCTCTGCCTCTGCTTCTATGGGAGTCTTTGCCTGCTGACCTGCCTGTTACCTTTGCTTTAACATAGGGTGTGGAACATGTCAAACACAGGCCTTGCATGTTGAAGCCCTTGTTTTTATATATTTCAAAAATTTCCATGCGATTTCACACCTGCAGCTTGCCTTATCAAAAAAACACTTTCCTTTCCTTTTTCTTTTCTGTAATGAGGATATAGAGCTCCTTAGTGCTCTCAGCTGCAAGCGACCCTTGGCTCGCAAGCAGATGCTTTTCCTCTCAAATCTGGACCCAATTCCTACTTCTGAGCTACAAAAGCTGCTTGCAACCACCACTAGTCTGGACTAACTAGGTGAGCAGCAGGGGACTTCTAAGGAGCTCAGTCTTTGATATTGTTTAGGGGCACATGCCAGCTTGTGCTTAGACCAGTTACGCCTGTGGCATGGGCTGGACTGGGCTGTGCTGTGCTGTTGATCCTCTTGAGCCTGCTTTAGTGATGCTGAGCAGGGCTTTGGCTGGTTTGCAAGAGGCCACGTTGCTATTCGTTGGGTCTCCGTTCTCTAGCCAGGTCAGCCTGTGGTATGGCTGGTTTTTCCAAACCCAAAAGCCTGTGTTGGCAGCGAGCAGAAGGGACTAAGTGGTTTGGGTTGTGAGGGTGTTTGATTTGTGGTTGTGCGTGTGTGTGTGTGTTCTTTTTTAGGTGGTTTTGGGAAAAAAAAAAAAAAAAGAGCTTGAGCAGATGCTTGAAAATGAATCACTTTCTCCTCTGGATGGAGATTAGGCTCCTCTGCCCTCCCATGCGCAGAGATCTGCCTGCAACACAGCCGTGTGGCTGCCAGCGCTTAAATGTGGAACGCAATTGGGAAGCAGCTGCTCACATCTGGAGAGAGGACTTGTGCTAGCAAAGCTGGCGTTGATGTTCAGTGTCACTACAGTGCATCGCTTCAGTTTTTATTCATTAGGCTCTGGGTTTTTTCGTTAATACGAGACAAACTTTTTCTTAATGGCCCAGTATTTTGTCTTAGCCTTGCTACAAAGCCTTTGAGGAAGAGCTCTTAAAGTAGATGGTATTTTCTGTGTTAGCTACTCCCCTGAAACAAGGGGAGGTGACATGGGGACTGTCTGGTTCCACTTGCTGCAGTGCAGCAGAGAAGCGATGGATTAACCCCGACTTGAGCAGATCGGCCCAAGCTCTGAAGGGGTTTCCAAGTTCGGCAGTGGGGGTTTTGGGCCACTTGTATTCTGAAGGAGGCTCTAGAGAAGGCCATACCCTCCGGCTTATTGCATCTGTGGAAAGGAGCCTGCACTGTGATTATCTGATCCACCCATCTCTGCTTGCTTCTTTGTAAGTTTGTTTGCATGGGAGCCAGTTTCCCTTTTCCTGCCACCTAGAGGAGAAAACAGACAGTGGAGTTTGGTGTAGTGATTTTTTGTTTGTTTGTTTTGAAGTTTGAGAGCTGCCATTTTCCCCTTTTGTTTTGGGAGGAAAGACTTCTACCTCATGGAACATTATACAGAGCTGTGTGATTCGGATCTTTTTGCTAGACACTTTGCTATGACGTCCCTGTGAGCAAGGGTAGAGGACGTGTGCAGGTTTTGGGCAGGCTGGCTTGTTGCTGTAAGGAAGGAGTGCATGTGCTCTCACTCTGCTCATGTGCTGGGATCTTTGCGCTCCCCAGGCTACCAGATGGGTCTTTTCTGGCAGCTCATCAAAGTGTGCAGCAACTAGTGCATGGCAATTTCCTCGGCTTTCCCTGCGCAAGCACCACAAGTGGGAAAACATGGAGGTTGCCAGAGTTCTCCTCTTGAGCCTGATCCAGAGTCCTTGGAAGCTGGTTGAAACACTTAGTTTTACTTGTGCTACATTGCCCCTATTTATGCAAGGGCTGGTGGGGGTAGTACTAGAGTTCTTGGAAGCCAGAAATTCCTGGTTGTGTAGTGCTTGCCTCTGTTAACAGATAGGGCTTGGAACATGAATGCTATACCCCGATCTGACTATCGTACTGTTACTGAAAAATGCCTACTGTGTGCTAGGTATTGCTTTGGGATGGATGTGGTGATGGTTGGGACAAAAGGAAAAGCAGCTGGAGGTATATAATATGCTGCAGCTGGCAGTGAAGAGAGGCAGGAGCTGTCTACACTGAGTGGTCATGGAGATGCCTGTGTCCCTCCAGCAGCAGGGCTTATAGGAGTGTGTTGCTCTGAAACTAGAGATGGGTCACAGTGAGTCTTTTCTTGAGAAATATCTCCTCTTAAGCATGGCAGATGCTGGATGGGGCAGTGGACCTGTTCACCCCACACCAGAGTCCCTCCTCTCAGATGGATTTGTTCATCCCTGTCATGACTGAGAGTGACATAAGGCAGAGCTCTTCCCCAAGGGACCCAGGCTGCGGAGGCCCAGAGGCACTCTGTCTTGGCAGCTTTGAAATGTTTAGGTCAGGTCATCTGTTAAAGGCCCTCTCAAGATGCAGAGCGAGGACTAATCTCCTGTTAAACCAACTTTATGACACATCTTTTGCTTGGCCTTTGCAAAATCTGCATCAAATTGCATCAACTGATTACAATACTGTAGCAAAACCATAGGTGGTCCTCAATCCTGTATTAGGAATTCATCTTTCAGTATTCAGAAAGAATGTAAAAAATGCAAAATCCCAAGCTCCTTGGCACTAAAACGCCCTCTCAGCACATTGAAAAAATGAATGTACAGAACAGAATTTCTTCCAAGTTCAAGGCCCTTCTGTGTACTGTCACATTATATATAGATGCTGTGATAGAAATGGGATTTGGACCAATAAGTTTCTCTCTCAAGCTGTTCTGCTCACTTGTTTTTCCTCTTCTTAGCTGGAAAGTGAACTCTGGACAGTGTCGCATCTCCATCTGGAGGGCTGATAGGAAAAATATGCTAGGGTGAACATCTGATATCTAAATGTAGCCAAAAGCTTCCCTGCATTTAAACTGGCATGCAACATAATGTAAATGCATATTTCTAAGTCCCGGCAGACATTTGGATATATTTCACTGTGTGAACACCTTTCTTTAACTGAAGCAAACTTAAACTGGGGCCTGTCCTTCTGAAATAGGAAGAAATAATCTTCTATTCCAAGTGGCAGAAAAGGGGAATAATCCAACCACCTGCACGTGGGAAACCATGTCAGAGCAAGGCACCAGGAAGGGATCAGCTAAGGTCCAGGGCTGTGTATGGCTTGTTGCTGCTCTGTGAGGGTTGGGTGAGATGTGTGCTTTTACCCCTTCTGACCTAGTGTGTCTCCTGTATTGCAGGTATTTCCAGTGCCCACCCAAGTTTGGCCTCTTTGCTCCCATCCACAAGGTGATCCGGATTGGGTTCCCGTCAACCAGCCCTGCCAAGGCAAAGAAGAGCAAACGAATGGCCATGGGAGTGTCTGCCTTAACCCACAGCCCCAGCAGCTCCTCCATTAGCTCTGTCAGCTCGGTGGCATCATCTGTTGGGGGCAGGCCCAGCCGCAGCGGGCTGGTAAGCGACTTTTAGCCCAGACTGTGCAGTTGGGATCTACTTCTGCTGTGATCCGTCCCTATGAAGCGGGAGGGCTGGAGTCTGGTTTCAGCAGCTGCATTAGGGCAGCTGCCTCCTCACTGTCAGTGAGAAAAGGGGAGTGTGGGATACCGTTACTGACCTCAAAAATGAAATTCCCTTCCTGGACATCAGAGCATCTTTTACAGCTCTCAGCAATTGTGACCCTTAAAGATCCCGAAGTGGTGTTTGCAACGGGATGAATTTTCACTCCACTGTTGTAGAGCTGGTTTTGTGCAGGATCTCTGCAAAAAATGCTGTTGCTTCCTGTCCCACTTGGTTGTGTAGCACTGTGCTGTTGTTAAACAGCTATCCTTTCTACCTCCTGCAGTGATGGCATTTCACTGTGAAGGGATGACTCTCTCCTGGAACACGTGCCCTGGGTTTTAGAAGGCTCTCAAGAAGGTGGACACCAGAGCAGGCACCGATATTATAAAAACCTCTAATGTTGAAGTATAAAGAGCGCTGCATAGCAGAGCACCTGCTGTCATCTCAGCTGGGGGAAGAGGCTCAGTACCCATTACTGGGAGTGGATCCAACTAGCCTATACTAGTCTTCAGCTGAGATCAGTCCTTCCAGCTGAGCTCACTGAATTTGGGACTGCACCCATGCCTGACATCAATAAAATATGTTTAGGAAGGCAGATGACACAATAATCATGATCTTTCTTGTCCCGATTCCCACACCACATCCTGTCCCTTGGGAAACAGCCTTCCCACTGCAGTGGGGAAGGGCTATTGAGTTTGGCAGCTTCCAGACCTGTTTTGCAGTCTTATTAACCCCACCTGTAGTTCCTGTTCTGGATCCTGTGAGCTCTGTACAGCCTAATTGATCAGTACATGAGCTGCATTCCAGATTTAAAAGGAGTTCTTAAAGCTATTCTAGATTGGAGAGCACACAGCTTTACCCCTGTCTTTTTTTAAACTCTCTTCCAGCTGACAGAGACCTCTTCTCGTTATGCCCGGAAAATCTCTGGCACCACAGCTCTCCAGGAGGCACTGAAGGAGAAGCAGCAGCACATCGAACAGCTGCTGGCAGAGCGTGACCTGGAGCGGGCTGAGGTTGCAAAAGCCACCAGCCACATCTGTGAGGTAGAAAAAGAGATTGCCATCATGAAGGCCCAACATGAGCAGGTATGCAGTGACATGGCTCTTGAGATCCTGTTAGCTTTATCACCAGTGCCCTGAGATCTGGAATCCTCTGAAAGCTTCAGGCTATGCCAGTGCTACCCCTGTACAGCTTCCTCATGTGAAACCTTAGCTCTAAATTTCTGCTTTTCACATGGAGGCAGCTTCCCGCATGGTGGGAACACACTGTGCGCGTGTGTTGTACTGTTCTTACTAGGCTTTGGCGTCCTGGCCCTGGACAGCACAAAGTTACAATGTGGGCGCTCTGAAAGTGCGTGCCGAGACTGTCTCCACTCCTGAATACCTGCTTTCTCGCTCCCAAGCAAGGAGCAGAAAAAGAGCTGTTCCAAAAAAAGGACGGTAGATAGTGTCCTCAGCTCCTGTCTAATGGCAGATCGATACATCTGAATGCTGAAGTGCAAGCAGAAGGCAAATTCGTTCCCCTTAGCCACCACTCTGGCCTTGGCTGTGACTGCATTGCAGGGTTTTTCCATGTTATCAGGCGCTGCTGAGAACATCAGCTCAGTTCATATGCCACTGTGTTGCTGCCAAAGAGAAAATGTTTTGATCCCGTTAATGGAGTCAAGAGGATTATAAGGAAAACGGACTGATCATCTTTGGCATTTTTTTTTTCCATGAGCATTTATACGATGATATTTATGCACGTGAATGTTTAGAGAAAGGAACTGCATGTTTATGCTGTTCATCAATGTGTGGCTCTTTCATGGCTGCTTGTGCCCCAAATTCGTTGCTTGTGTTTATAAACCCTAGCTGGCTGCTCAGGAGCAGGAATAGCACTGTATAGCTTTGTGTAGTAGGTCACCCGTGTCTGTTAGAAATGCGGAAGAAATTGGCAAACCAGTTGCAAGCTGAAAGCTTCTTGCATAAAGTATTTTCCAGTAATTACCAGTAACAAATAAGTTAATGCAAGTCTGAAATGGCTCTCTGGCCTCATGACCAGGGCTGCATTGGATCGGGTAGCCTCATACAAGATTTTGAAAACTGTTCAGGTTCAAAGTGCTTTAATTCTCTAACCAGAGCTGGATTCCCCAAAGGGTTCAGCTCACAAAGAGGCTCTGAAACATGGATCAAACTTTAGAGTTACTCAGTCTGCAGCAGCTGTTTCTTTTTGACACTTACCTACTGGGCGTTTTGGAAAATCTGGCTTTTTACAAGAACAGCTTCTGAAATGGATCATCAAAACCTTGAAATTCCTTGTTCTGATCCCCTGCGTTCTTTTGTTCGTTTGTTTTTAATGACTCTCTGCTTCAAATGTTGCTAACTTTTGTGGCCTGGGCTCTTTTTCCACTGCAGTACGTCACAGAGGCAGAGGGAAACCTCCAGCGTGCCCGTGCCTTGGTGGATGGGATGCAAAAGGAGAAAATAGAGCTGTTGAACCAACTGGAAGAGGAGAAGAGGTAAAGCAGGAGCGGATGGATGTGGGAGGATGTGATGTCATGGGAGAAGACTAAGCTCTCACCTGAGAACGTTATTCATTGGATCTAAGGAAAAGAAAGCGACCGGGAGCTGCTTTTTTGGTCAACTTCCATGTATTCAAATATACTGTATTTCCCTGTCCTGGGCATTGCGCTCTGCCTGCATGGAGGAAAGGGGTGTGCTGCTTCTTGTAATGGGAGGATTAGAACAGGGTTGCTGTAATTTCACATCTAATATGATTCCCGTCCAGGGACAGGCATCCAGTACAGTGACTGCCCCCGTTTGCTGACAAACTGCAAATCCCCCTTGAACAGTGAATTACTTCAAACTAGTCTTGTATAATCCTGTCTTTTCTGCCAAATGCAGCAAGTGCTTTGGACAAGAGATACTACCAGCTTCCGTTCCTGATCATGACTCTGACGCTGGAGGGCTGACGCTCCAGTGATGACCCTGTTAGATATTTGACTGGGCGCTTGTACGCCATGAGTATTTGACCTTGGCAAATGTTACACTGACAATTACAATGGCAGGCCACAATCTGTCACTGCCAGTAGAAGGCCAAATAGTCTTGGGCTCCTGCTGGATAGTGAAGCTACTGAGGGTCTCCAGCCATGTCCTCCGTCGGGCTCCCAACACAGAGCAGGGAGGAACAGCGTTATTAGCCTGGAGAAAAGAAGGGCTCAGAAAGATCTGAGACACTCCTCCAGTCACATCCGTAGTTTTGGTGGAATTTGATACCGTGACCAGACTCACCAATGACACTGTGTAAACTGGAGTTACCCAGTAAAGAGAAGATTGACCCCTGGCAAGGGCATGGACTGTGGCAAAGCCTTGCCTTCAGAGATATTCTTGGTTAATGATATAATACAAAATAATTCTGGAAAATAAACAGCGTTCTTTGCAGGTTAGGCCATCCCAGACCCTTAACCTTTCTGTGCAGCCTGGCTTTGCAAAAGATCCTTTCTTTCTCCTCTGTTTGTGATGTGCTAATCTTAAGGACATTCATTCTGAGGAAGAGAAGTTAAACGGCCTTGTGGTGCACATCTCCCCAAATCCCAGAGGCATCATCCATGTATATATGCTGAAACATGCATTTTTTCCTCAGTAAGAGCAATGCTTGTTATTCTTGAAATCCAACTGCTCCATAGATATAATTAAACCCTTCAGTGGGAATAGAAAGACATTTCTGTGTGTTTAGTAACTGAAAGAAAAACAGTGAAACAGTGTTGGTTTCAACTGAATGTCCCTCCTGAAGACGATTTGTTCTCTCATGCACAAGTCTCCCAGTTCCTCTTGTAGGCAGCTCACTTTCCCAGCTACAGGAGGCCCTTTAATCCAAGGCAGCTGGGTTCTTTGCTAAATATCAACAGATGCCTTCTCTAATTAGAAGAGGTTTAGACAAGGAAGCTTGTTTATGAAGTTAGATATATACACTCACAGCTATTTTTATCTGTGACAGAAAATCAGAGTCCTTACATCTGTCTGGCAGCGCAACATCTTCGTTACTGTCTGTCTCTATTTAATAATTTTATCTATCAGTAAGGAGAACAAAGAGGCCTGAGTTTAGCAGCAGATTGGATTACAGTGGTGTCCTTACTGGGTTATCTATTTAGACTTTGCAAAAGGGTTCTGGGCAGTCTGAGTTGGCGCATGTGGTTTTACATGTGTTTATGCATGACTGAGCTGTACAATGTCTGGTGAAGGCTTTTCTGCCAGGGTAGCTCACCATTCCCACAGTGTGGAAACATTAAGCATTGCCCACTACCTGCCACGAGGGTAGAGACTCCAGTTCCTTTGGCATAGTTTGTATGGGCCTTGTGCATACGGCGCAGGACTTGCCCATTGCTCAGCTGCAGGATAACAAGGAACTAAGTAACATGATGGAACCGGGTTGTTGCTTTCACGTTTTTGGGATTGGACAGTCGGTGAACAGCAGTTGTGCTTGCTGAGAAGTGGTGTAGCAGAAACGGCATGTCTGTGAGCATGTACCTGGCATGAAGGCAAACGTTTGCTATGCACAAATCTTTCTCATTAACTGTCTTGCTCCATGTGTCTTGGTCTTTAGCTTCCGTTGAGCTGTTTGCATATACAGTTTGTTCATATTTTTCTCCTCTCAACCTCTTGTTGTGCAGGGCAGGCTCACATGTGATCGGCTGCTTGGAGATGGGCCGCTGATCGGGGTGTTACTGATTGCTCTTTATGTATTTTCCCTTTCCCTTTCCCCTTCTCCTCCCCAGGAAAGTGGAGGACTTGCAGTTCCGTGTCGAGGAAGAATCCATTACGAAGGGGGATCTGGAGGTAATTCCTAGCACTCGCACCAAAATGGGGGGTCAAAACTTGAAATTGCATGTGAGGTCTCACTTTAATTTCGCTTGCTTAACTCTGAACAACACTTCTTTTATTGATGGCTGTGGACCTGCTCATGAACGCAGTGGGGAAAACTGTGAAAATTGTTCTCTGGTATGTTACCCAATTGCTGGCAATGATGCTAGGAGCTGCCTAGAAATAATCACTGCTGGCCAGCCTGTCTTCAAATGTTGCCGTGAGTTGCCAAGCCGTGTTGAAATCTCACTGTATGTGAATGCATTTTAATATATGTTTTTCTGCTGTAGAAATGATCCGACTGCTCAGTCACTGTCCCTGCAGTGTCTTGTTATTAGTGGCTAGTGGGAGGTACACAGAGTTTCCCAGTCAAACGAGAGAGCAGCTAGATGCTATTCCCTTCGGCTAAAACGCCAGGTATCATTTGACTTGCAAGACCCTCTTGTGGAGTCTTCTGTCCACAAATGTAGGGTTTGACATTAAAATACCCTCTCATTTGGAAGTGCTGTTACTCTGTGCAATGCTGTTGCAGTGAACGTTATTTATGCAAACTGGAAGTAGTGTTAGGAAGTTCCCTTGAGTGTAAGGTGTTTTCCTGTGCAGAGAAAGGAAAGGAGAATGCTTCTATAAAAGCAAGCTACAGGTGTAAATCAGGGGCTTTCCCTTATATGAAGCTAGAGAGCTGGGTTAGTAACAGCCAGAACTGTCGAATGACCTGCTTCAGTGCTCCACTGTCAATCGTATAAAAAGCCAGGAAAATGTGAAAACAAAGCAATGAAGTATTTTGCTGGCTTTTAGAGAAACGGAATGGTTTCTCTGGAGGATAAAGCAGAGCAACATGTTGGGTGTATGAACCAGCAATGCACCAACAGCAGATCTTTGCTAAAGGACAGCGACTGCAGTTCCTGCCTGGTGAGTGCGTGCGTAAACAGGTTTCTGTTAATTCCTGGGGTTAGATGATTGGTTTTTCCCTAGTGCATTAGAGAAGGGTAGATGATCCATCATTCCCTCTGAGAGCGGTGAGTTGTCCCTGTATAAACTTTAAGCATTTAAACCTAGTTGCGGAATAATTACAATGGAAGCAGGGCTAACTAGCAGATAGATTTTTAAGGGTACGTGTTTTAGTAAGATGATGAACTGCTGTGGCACAAGTTTTCCTGCGACTTCCGGTCCCAAACTGAGGGTGATGGCTCATCTCACTTTTCACCCAGGCTGGAAAGGGGCTGCTTTGCAATGAGGACAGATCCAAGCTTCTTGAGGGCTGACAGGGTCCTCTGCCCTCTTCTGTGCCTCTCTGAACAGAGGAGCAAATAACTCTGTGGAGCAGTTTGGTCTCTTGTAACTCAGAGAGCTGAGGATGTTTCCCTGCAGGTCCAACACCAGTGATAACACAGTTGTGTTGAGGAGTTTGCTGTGGCCAGCTTTTGCATCTTGTCCTGTAATTTGGATGCTCAGACTGAATGATTGACTCACTGGTGTTTATCCTCACCTCACTAATTTGTTGTGGAGACAGTTAGGATTTCCAGAAGCAAGCAATTCAGTTGCAGAGAAGTTTCCCATGGGAAATTAGTGGGGTAAGTGCTCCTTCATGTTGCAGAGTTGTTCCCTGGGAAATGGGTGTTCCTGACACTCTCGTCTTCATGCAAAATTACTAGGAAGCCAGCCACTTCTGCTAGCTTAGTGCTAAGCAGCCTTAGAGTTAAACCATTAAACCAACTCCCTGAATACTTTAACCTCACACCCCAGGATGTCTATCTTACCTCAGTTTCCCACTTGAGGTCATTAATAGTGCCTCTGCAGCAGACATACAACAGCTGGGAACAGGCATGATGTGGTCAGAAGAGTATCTTCTCCGTGGCTCCTGGATTCAGGGTTTCTATTCAAGGCTACGCTAGATCCCAGAGGGTGTTTCTAACAGTCGCATGTAGTTTTTAAATAAAGCCTGGACTCTTGAGTGTTTTGCATGGCAGGCAGCATCCCTGTAAGCTGTTCCACCAAACAAATTGGTGCATCTGAAACCTGCCATCTCGTAGCATAGAGGTGGTGTTTCTGCACATCCTTTAGGGGAACGGAGAGGTATAGTTGCCGCTTGGTTCCTGC